ATATTGTACATTATATATGCGTTTCCCTACTGTTACAACAAGAGCTGTGTGGAAATAAAATTGATAGATATCGGCTCTCTGCTTAGCTGTTTTTTGAGAGAGTGACGGCAAAGGAAGAATAATTCAGAATATTGGCAGCCCTCTCCTGCATGGAAGGGTATCTTGTGGCTGTGTACAGTTTTATTAAGAAGCCCCAGCAAAAGCACGCTATAAAATCAGCTGAGGCCTTGCTTCTAGGAATTTCTCTGCTGTATGTGCTATGGGTAAGAACGCAGGTGCATACACTGGGACATGAGAAGAGAGAATTCCTGCCCACCTACTGGCATCTCCGTGGCTGAAGATTTAATAGCGGTACCGCTGAAGCCAGTAACCCAGTCCCGGCCAGCCTCATCCTTGCCCATAGCTGCCTGCTCCCCACCCAGTCTGCCTGGAGAAATTGGTGGGAGAACGCATGGAGCTGAAACATTTTCTAGCAAAAATGAAAAAAAAAGCTTATTTTTAGCAGCACCAGATCCCTCTGCAGCCACACACACGTTTGTGCCAACACAGCACAGAGGGCAGAGGATAAGCAAGCGGTCGGGCTGGCAACTGTGTATGCCAGTAGGACTTCCATGAAATTCCCTGTCAAGCGAGGCTCCCGTAGCGGTCAGCGATGCTGCCATAGTCTGTGAGGGCAGTGCGCGGAGCACTGTAGGGGCTGCTTCGTTCTGAGTGTCTTGGACATCTCGGGATGGGATGAATCAGCCTCTGGCAGTGCCTGACTCACCACTGACTACAGAAGGAGTCTAGGTGACTACATGCTTATTTTCTGGACAGTTAAATTTACATTAGATGAATCACATGCAAAGTATACACTGTGAAAACTGCATAGCTAATTAGGAAAAAACAGTTTGCTGGTGATGGCTGTACTTCAGAAGGAACTAATTTTGGCAAACTGCTTTAATACCATGTATATTTTATGAATGTTCTGGTAGATGTTTTTCAATGCCTGGGAAAGTTCATGACAGGCTGAAACTGGATTGTCTGTAAACAGTAGGGATTTACACACTAATAATTACCAACTAACTATGTCAGAGCAAGAAGTTTGTAAACTGCATGTGTTACCATCTGCATAGTCTCCCAGCTGTTTATCTTTTGCTAGTCTTTTGCCCGGATTTCAGTAAAGAGAAAGGCTGCCTTCCTCTGGGGGGATGCACTGCAGGAAGCAAAGTACAAGAGCCCCCGATTTGGAAAATCATCGAGGTGCTGTCCAACACTGCGATTAATCTTCTCAAAAAAATGTCATCGAGTGAAATTGAGATGCCAGTCTTTGAAAATGTCATGGATTTGTTTGACTGACAGAGCTCCAGGGTGCTTTGCAAATACAGGTCTTCCACAAATACAGTAACAGCCAGACGTAAACTGAGGAAGGAGGAGGAGTAGCAAATTACAGAGCACCAAAGTTAGCAAGGAGCTTCCCTAAGCCATTTTCTTGTTTCTAAATCGTTTCCTTCACGATTTGTTATGGCATCTTTAAGAACACAAGTAGGGTTTATAGTCTGTGAGAAAACGCTGTATTAAGAAGTGACTTGGTAAAAATGAGCATCTGTGATTGAAGGGAAAAGCTGAGGTGTTTGCTCTATAATTGAAGTGTCCCTTTAGTGGGTTTATCACCCTGAGTCTGTGTGTCTGTCTCCTGCTGTCCTGGAGATAATGCTCTTTTCCTGTGTTTTTGCTGCTGGCACATCAGAGGTTTCCCACCCCCAGCTCTGTGAGGGAAAAGCATCCTCTGGGAACAGGTGAGGCTGGCTCACGGGACTCTTAAGGGAAGGAGTGCCCTCTATTGCACGGTCCGAGCATCGTTCTTTATCACCAGCTTCTGCTGCTTTGCAATGGATTTGGTCGCTTAAAATATATGCCAACAGAACTTGGAACCATTCACCTCTCAGGAGGGTCCCATCCTGTCTCCTCTGTCTGTCAGCTACCAGAAATATCACACCACAGCAACAAACCTCTGCCTGAGCGTTCTTTAGGTCTCTACCCAAACCTATTTAGTTATGATGCCTTGATAAAGGCTTCTGAGTGATGCTGCAGCGTGTTAATATCAGTCACCCAGGCACTTCTATTGTTTCGTCACCCAAGGGTCATGAAGCACTTTGCAGAAAAAATACCTGACTTGATTTTTAAAAGATACTGCTGAAAGACGTAAAGGTGAGACAAGAAGAAAACCAAGAGAGATTTCTTTAAAGGGCAAGGGTAGAGGCACATACATGGCTGATGTCTGTCCTGCCCTCGTGTGAAACTGGCATGATGTGTCCAAGAATTGAGAGCTGGTCAACACAATTCTCCAGCACAGCAGTGAAGAGCAGAGCTTCCAGATGAGTTAATTTTTCCATTTCTTTAGTCTCTGTGCTGTTGCTAAGAGGAACAAAGACAAAAAGATAACAAGGAGAAAGACAGTGTTAGTCGTTTAAACTAAAGGTAGACCTGAAATAGCCTTATGTGCAGCCTTTCACATGCTTCCCCAGCGTTGTTTATAGCCTTTCATACACTGTTTATAAGAGGAGCAGCTCTGCTAAAGGCTGCATTCAGGGACAGCGGGAATGTTTAGCTTTCACAAAACAGAGTAGGTCCTGGTCCCTCCCACAGTAGGTCTGGGTAGACAGGCTGAGAAGGGGGTGGACTGCGCAAGGTGGCCTCACCCCTCAGTTCAAGGGGAGCAGCGCTTCATGACGGACGTTGTTCTTGGAGAAACAGCTGAATGAAGGTGCCTTTTTAAGATGAGGAAAAAAAAAATCCACACCTCTTACAATACTTGGGATGGCGAACCTTCATGCTCTAATCATTCCTTGTTATTTCTGCATAGCCTCGATGTTTTTACCATCCATTCCCCTGAGCAGGAACTGTTACCACCTTAAGATGTTGAAAGTCAAACAAGTACCAAGATCTGGACTAAGTAAAGGATCTTTAACCTTCTGTGTTGTTTTATTGGAAATTGCATTTCAAATGTGAAGCTGCTCGGATGTACACTTAAGCATCCCTTTGCCTTGGATAGAATATTGTGAAAGTGCATCTAGGGAATGGTGGAAATTCACTATTAATCCAAGTGAAATTTGGCAATTTAGAGAAAAAAGCGTAAGAAAGCACCTGCATAACACTGGAGAAATTCTCTGAGATTTGTTCTGGTTTGCTAAGCCATTAGACAACCCCTCCACACCCTATATTCACAATCCAGGTATTTGTGGCATAAAGCCTAGCACAGCTGGAGTCTGAGATGACAGATCCTGAATGTCATTGCGTAAACATCCACTGACAACATCTTCGTTTGGCTGCTGGACCTACAGCTGGATTTGTGCCATCTGTAAAACCCTTGGATAAACATGTCCTGGGTCTGCAGAATATTACAGTCCAGTCCGTGAGCGTGCCAAGGAAATGCATCAGGCAAGACCTGTTAGCGTGAGTACCAGGATAAGACATGGCCACACTCGGTGAAAATTAGAGGTTTGGATGCAGGTGTGCTCGGGATCACTGGAAATCGGTGATTTTTCATGAGCAACTTTAGAAGTGTTTAAAAAAATGCATACTTAATATAACCTCTTTGAAACTGTTACCAAAACATTTGACCTCCTCCTTTTTTGTTGCTGAAGTAAAATACAGCACTTTACAGTAGGAAGATGAAATTTATTTCACTTGGGCCGAAAAATAGGAGTCACTTTTCAGTGGCGTGACTCCAGCTTTAGGAACCATGAATAATGCAAAGTGCTATGATGTAGCAGGACCAGTATTTTCAACAGATACAAGTATCAGTGCCGCCACATAAGGCGTCAGTAAACCTCAGGTAAGGCACGATGCATGTTTCTAGTCCTTGGTGCGAAAAACATGCGTGGGTACAGAAGACGACTAATGGGGTGATCATGGGAATAGAAATTCTGTCTTACAAGACGTTAAAAGGACCGAGGGCTGTGATTACCCCCTGTAAATACATATGAAGAGTAGATAGCAGGGAGAGACAGAGCTATTGAACTTAAAGGATAATACTGGTCCAGGGTCAAAGGAACGTAATTTCCCCTAAGACAAGGCAATTATGGTAAGGTTTCTGTCTTCTGGATGGATGAAGATATGAAACAGCCTTTCAGACAAGATAATGGCAGAGGCACCCAAAGTATTTCAAGAAGAAGCTTGCTTAAATCATGGCAGGAAGAGATAACAGCGAAGGAGTGATTCTGAATATTATCACTATGTTTACTGTCCTTCTGCCATTTATACTGACCTAATTAATCCCACTGTTTGGGGCTTTTGGTGGTCACCTATGACTAAGAAGGAACTGATTTCCTCCCGTCTGAGACCTTTTCTCTCCCTTCTCTTAGTTATTAAAAAAATGCTACAGCTTGAGATAGGAATCTGATAATATCATTAAGTAATAACTATCTAATAATCTGTATAATAAACTAAAAGCAACACTTCTCCTTTCTTTTAAAACTTGGAATCAGCAATAGAAGCAGAGATGCACAAATGAAGTATTTTTACATAAAGTCAGATAATGTCTCTTTCCAGTCAACAGGCACTAATAAAATACTTCTGAAATGGTTTACACATTTTCATCTTTTTAAGAAATCTATGATCCATATTTTGGGTCTAAACAACATGAGAATAATCTATTACACGTAGAGCCCTAATGCTAAAAATACGGTGAAAAAACCCGTGTTGTGGGAGAGCAGACGATTACGACAGCATTCTTGAAAGAAATAACACACGCAGCTCTCCTAGAAAAAAAGTGACTTCTTTGGAAACAAGGGAGGATGCAATAGCTTTTCCTCTATCCCATCCGCAGCTTGTGTCCAAGGGAGAATGAACTCAGGTTACTAGTGCATGGTAAGAAAGCTCACAGCTGGAATGTTTCTCTGGAGCCTGCTGGTTTGCTCCTCTTATAACCGTATACTCACGCAGGGGATGTGTGTGCCAAGCCAGTGTGCTCTGGGCTTGAGTTGACTTGGAAGCGAGAAGGAAACTGCTGCCTGGGGCATTAAGAAATGCTACAGATAGTGAGCTGCTCTCCATGGATTTTAGCATTAACACAGTGCCCACAGACCCTCCTGATTCAGCCATTGGCATTGACTTTAATCACCACACTTTGCTCAAGTCCTTCACTAAACTCTATTAATAAAAAATTTTAAAAAAAGAGGTATGTGAAGGATTCAGCTTCCCCCAAGAGTTTAGGTTGACATTCTTTCCCTGCTGATCTAAAGGGAAAGAAAAACATGTTGAGAAATAATTTTTAAAACAGCTGTATAAAAGGTCTGGCCTCCTGTTCCTCTGGGGATTGCGACTCCCTCTGCTGTGTGAGAGTCCTGGAATCACATTTCTCCCACCCTGCTCCCTGATACACTACAGTGGCTTCAAAGGCAGCATTCCTTCTAGTCAATTAAGGAGATACCCATGGATTCCAGCAAGAACATTCAAAGCTGAGAATGCCACATCTCCGTTAGCTCTGCTCTGAAAATGACTGGCTAAGAGAGATTCTGAATATCCACAGTGGCAGCAGCTGGGTGTAAAATCAGAAGTACCTTAGTTTTTAGCAGAAAAATGTCTCTTAGGCAAGCAAAATAGTTGTGGTCTTAAAAAACGCTGCCTACCCGGTACAAATGTTAGAAGTCTGTGGATGCCCCATCCCTGGAAGTGTCCAAGGCCAGGCTGGATGAGGCTTTGAGCAACCTGGTCTAGTGGAAGGTGTCCCTGCCCATGGCAGGGGGGTTGGAACTGGATGGTCTTTAACGTCCCTTCCAACCCAAACCGTTCTGTGATTCTATGATTCCTCTGGCCGTGGCCCAGCAAAGTACACAGACTTAATTCTCCGCCTCTATCGGGATCTAACTCCCCAGTACAGGTTCGAGATCTCCAAGCCCAGCTGGTGACAAGACACCAGTAGATTTTGCTCCTGAGATCCAATTTTTCATAAAATCATTCTGGGCACACGTTCAAATGCAGCTTAAAACAGCAGCAAAGTTACAGTGAAAGTCCAGCCAGCCAGGACACATTCCATATTGGAGTAAGTTCCTACATCACTTAGAGCGCTCTGACAATGCACCTCAACTTCTGTCTGCGTGAGGTGACAGAAATTAGGGGTGAATGACTCCGACTTGGGAAAACAGGTAAGTACATGCTTCCACCTGTTCTTTTTTAGGAAAACACGGGAATGTAAGACTTCATCACAAGGATCTGAGCATAGAAATACATGTTTTCTGTCACCGAGGTGACATCAGACGGTGTTGATTCGCTGATTCAAGGTGAGACTGGAGAACAATCAGGGCCCCCAGAGTAGCCATCAGAAGAGGG